GATGATGTCGCCTACAGCGTACTTGTCATCAAACGTTTGAGTAGCATAGGTCTGCGAAGAGCAGGGGAAATCAGCCGGCGGTCAAGGTGCTCGCATCATCGAGCTACACCCACTATCACGGGTGTTTTGCCATCCTCCATGGCTTGAATCTGCGCATGGAGCAGCAAGTCTGGTCAGACGGCAACAGGAAGCCATTTGGATAGGCACAGTTTGAAGCCTTTCTAGCTCACAGGTGGGTACCAGATAGGAAGCTGCGCCGAGACTCCGTTGACGGTGTCGTTGACCAGCTGGCCTGGAGCGCCGATGCTGCCAGACCCGCCGGTCGTGGCGTTGATGACGCCAAAGTTGTTGGTGAAGACCGCGGCTGGCCCGCCTTCCACCTTGTAGGCACCGATGCGCTTGACCGGAACCAGATCCGAATCGGGTAGATCAAGACATGCCGCTGGACCAGTGTCGGCTGTCGTTGAGGTCGTCGGGCTGCCTGTGGGTACAGTCCCATTGGCATTGAGGATCTTGACAGCCAGCAAGCCGAATGGAAGCGAACCATCAGTGTACGCGTAGCATTGCGTCTGAGCTTCCGCGCGCAGCCAGAGTTGCCCCTTTGACGGGCTCTTCCAAATAGCATCGGCTCTATAAGGAGGAGGTTTGCGCCGGGGATTTCTTAGTGCAAACTTCGCTACTGGCACCTGCCCGTGGAGCGCTCACCTTTGTCCACCATTGACATGAAGTCGCTTCAAGCTTTTCTTCACGACTGGCGTTGCGTCGACTGCAATGAGATCCAAGTTGTACGTGTCCAGAGATACGCGAATCTGTGCATGGGAGAGAGCACCGATGAAGCGGAAACGGTAGCGGGTGCTTGGCTTGAGTGCGAGCTGAGGCCAGGGTACGTTCGAGTCGAAGGTAGCGTTGGTGAAGCGACCTCGACCGTTGATCAGAATAGAGTCGTGTGGCGGTGCAGCGATGGAATTGTTGTAGCCATCAACGCTCAGCAATTGCTTTTCGAACACCGACGCGGGTGTGTGATACCAATCTTGCAGCACTATGACGACTTCTTCGTCAAAGTCTGTACCGCGCTTGTATGGGTCGTCGGGGCTGTGTATGACGATGGGGAATACTTGTCCCTCGGTGTATCCCAGCGCAACGTGAGAGTGACCCCAGTAAGTGCCAAACTCCTCTGGCGCCTTGAACTCGAAAGTCTGCTTCACGCCAGGAGCAAGGGGACAGTTTGTGAGGCCAGGAAGACCTGAGAACGGACAAGCAGCACGGTCAGTGATCGGCCGGACGACGACGGCGTAGCGCCACCACTCACCATCAGCCCAATTGGTGCCTACTTGAGGAATGCCATGGAAGTGGGTCAGGTGGTTGCGGTCGGATTGATTGTCGATGGTGATACGAAGGGTGTCGCCAGTATTTGCTTCAATGACGGGACCTGGCATGGTACCGTTGTACGCGTACACCGTTTTGGAGACGCCATCAGGACTTGCTTCTCCATCCTTGACGATGAGGTGGTATTCGCGAATTTGAGGTGTAGCGGTGATCTTGAACTTGGGATCCAGGATGTACTGCCCAACATCTGGCTGGGTGACAGCATCAGCGCGTGCAGCGAGCTTTGAGTGCGCTCCGTACAACTGTCTACGTGAAAGATTGCTCGAGACGTGCGGGCTCTGCCACGGTGGCGATGGGTGGGCGATGGTCGGAAGGACGAAGCCGAAAAGGGTGAGCGTGGGCAGGAGGAACTTCATCCTGTCGTTGGAATGCGGACACTTGCAGGAGGGTTCTGCTCTTACGGTTCAATGCAGTGTGTTGCGCGTCTACAAGAGTGAGAGGTCGAAAGTCTTTGCAGCAGAAGGAGGAGCAGGTTCAAACCCGACGAACAGGACATCTTATAGGAGCAAAAAGGGAGCGGCTGGCATTCGAGGCATTTTTGCTCAGCCAAGCCACGCAGGGCCTTTGACACGACTGTATGCTCTTGACGACTGCATGCTCTTGCCCGCCAAGTCGTCACACAGGTGTCTGGATTGAGATCGAGTGGTATAGCGAGCTGAGCGTGGATGATGACGCTACCAGCCCCAAAGATCCGCGGTAGCAAGGCGCAGTCCTCCGTAGATCGCAGCGACGACCTTCAGTCACGGATTGGCGAACATGCTGAAGAAGCATTTGTTCGGCTGGCTACGGGAGGCTGAGTAAGGCTGAAAGCAAAGGTCCGGTTCAATAGCGCCAGAGCAAGCAAGAGTACGCAAACATCGGAGTTGCGAAACAAGTAACGATTCGGGTGATGTGTCGCCCCCGCGCCGTGGCGTAGGACAAGTCCAATGTTTGTGATGCGAGAGGATGGGAAAGGTGAGCAACATCGCCCGCCAGGCTGTCGCTTCTTTGCCGAGCGCTCGAGATGGCGGGGTGCAAGCTGCATCCGGATCGAGCACCGGCGGCAGTGGCAAGTGCTAGACTGATCATAGTGTTGCCCTCATGCGAAGGGCGCTGATGCGGTGTAGAGTGCGCTAGCCATCAGCCATTGCTGGGCGTGGTGCATGCTGGAACAAAGAATCACGAATGCGAACACCAGAGATGCGCCGAGTGATGCTGTATGGCTCCATGGCTACGGCTCGTCTGCGTGCAGCAAGGATACAGCACGCATGTCACGATGAAGAATGGCTGACTGACGAGGGCGCCATCGGCCAACACATCGCCGGCGGAATGCCGTCATGCAACCGCGAGGGTTTCTCTTCGCTCCGCAGGCTTCAAAGTTCAATGTCTTGCATGCCCGCATGCTTTGGATTACTTGGAACCGAAAGCCATGCTCTCGGATGGGTCGTTCCTGCTCAAACTCTCGTGCTCGTCCACCTTGTCCGGTCGCAGAATAATAGATTTGCGCGACAGGCACGGAAGCCACAAGTTGATCGAGGGACGAACCCCGGGTGTTGAATGATTCAGGTTGGTCTTCCTGCTGCATGGCTGAAGCGACGACGGTCTTCCTGTCTTCAGCATGATTCACGATTGTTGGAGCTCATCTCCACTTAGCTCAGACTCTGTCGGCAGTACACAATCTCCATGAATGCTGCTGGTAGTCGTGAGCGCAATGCGACCCAAAACAGCAA